AGGTGATGGTATAGTGATGTTGTAGAAGTTTTGTAAGATTTTTTATAAACTTGACAAGCAATTGTCTGATGTAATTCAGAAGGTGTTAAGAAGAGACCCTATGAATCCATTAATTTCCAGGAAATTTACCAAAAGATACAAAGTATTTGAGAAATTAATAACTAACTAATGTATCTAGTCTTAGTCTGTTCACTTTATTGGATATAAGAATTACTTTTCAAATAGTAATTATAATTAATCTTATTTTTTTTATAAAAAAAAAAAATCAGAAGTAGATTAAGTTATTTTTTTTAAGGCTGTTAAATAATACTTCCTCCTATTTTTATTATTTATCGTTTTAAGAAGTAACACGCTAATTAAGAATTTTTTTTCTTACCAATCTTAACCCTATTTAATGTATGTTACGAGAAACAATGTAGATGAAATATGAAGAGACATTGTGCATTAGATAGAGGTTAAAAATGAAAAAATATAAACAAAATAGTCAAAACGATATTAATTAATCAATGATCAATTAAACCAGAATGACAAATAATAAAAATATGATGTAGTAATAAACATTAACAAATTATTATTCAGAAATTCGTTTTGTTCCGAATTGACTTCACTTAAGGAAATTATGAGGAACCGAAAGAACAGTGTTCGTTTTTCTCCATTTTATCGTGAATAACGAGAAAGTGAGCATAGTGTGACTGCGACCCGACCCACCTCTTGTCCACAATTTCTTGCCACTTTCTTAGATATGTCACACTCAATTCATTTTAATAGTTGATTGATATTTTGAAAAATAGACAAAAAATTGTTCCATATAGAGAATAAAAAATAAATAAATAATTGACATGTCTCTTTAATACTTGACGATTTTAAAGATGGGAAATGTTATAGTACGGTTATGGAACAATTCAGTTGGGATTTGAATCGTTAGATCATTATGTAATCGTTGTGGATAGTTGATCTAACAGTTAGAAACCTTGGCGAAATGGTTCCGTAACAAGACCTTAAAATCTCCTTCTAAGCATGATTCATTAATTTTGCATCATTTGATTTAATGGGTGGAAATTGAGTGCATAGTTCATTTATTTGGAAAAATTCTAGTGTCCTCATCATGAGAATGAGTATGCTCGAAAAATTTATCTAAAAAAAAAATAATATTCACCATTTCAAATTCTTTTCGTAACATAAGCAATAGACTCTTCTTGATCACTAAACCAATTTGTGTGCAGGCCGACTACGAAGTCGGCCTGTCCGCCTAGCGGCTAAAAACACGGCTTGGCCAACTTCAGTTAATCACAGTCGAAAATGCTATATTGTTGGATGATCCGTGCTGATTTCTACAATTTTTATGTCCTTGATTCAATTCGCTTATTGAGTTCAATTACAAGTTATAACTTGCATTGTCATTGAGCCACCGGATAGCTCCTTTATAGAGTCATCCATAACTTGTTGATATACTGACATATGTCCAATGTATATTTATTGTAAGGCACGTGTTAATAAACTATTTCCCAATAGCTGTGGATGACTCCACAGCAAAACCGTATGTATATATTACAACAATAATGTACTCCACTATTAATCAATTTCCACTACCCTTATTGCAACAATCAATTACTATAATAATCACAACTAAATAACTATCAATTTTTGTGTGTTTTTTTTTTTCCACTCATATGGACACACTATTGGGTACTCCCCTACACGTGACCCCCGGCTCGGAGGTCGGCGCGAGGAGCTCGTAAGGCAACACCCCGGCCCCACACCGGTTCTTGAGCTGCGGGTCCGCATTCCTCCTCTCGATCTCCTTCTCGATTCGCCCGATCTCTGCCGAGAACTCGTAAAATGCCTCAACCGCCTCAGAATCTCCCGACCAAATCGACCCGTGCTGCCGCTCCCCTATATACTCCTCATCAGGCGAGTGGGTCGAGAGCGTGTCGACCACGGCCATGAATTTGGTCGCCTGCAAGAGGCTCGGGAGCGCGCTAAAGAAGTACTTTTGTGGGTCCCGGACGAAACCATCGTGCTCTGGGTCGGTTTCTTCGGGCAAGAGCCGGCGCACGAGGGGCGGGCGGTTGGGCACGTAGCCTCCATATGGGTATTGCCCGAAGTTGAGGGCCGCGTGCTGGGCGGACGCAAGCCAGACAAGGGTCGTGAGGACAGACGCCAGGTCATCGGGGGAGTCGAGCGCGGGCCACCAATCCGCGTGGCGGAGGTCCGCGTGGCCCACGTTGACCGATTCGGCATACCAAGCTTGGAGCTCACGGTCGTTGCAAACATCGGCCGGGTCTCGGTAGTAGTGGCGCACGTAGGCGTGGACCCAGTCTTGGATGGCGGACCATATCATGAGCCCGTCTGACGCGTACGGGTAGTCCTCGATCATGAGACGAAGCCCGTGGGGTTGTGTGGGGTCCGGCACCGCCATTCCTCTGAAAATCGAGGTTATGTTAGTGATGATATATATGATTTCGTCGTATTTTTTTTTCCCTTTTGGCGTTGATTTACACTATAAGAAAATAAAGGATAAAATTCAATGTACATATACTCGAATGGTATTCCAATGCAATTCCAATGGATATTACAATGTTATTATTTCCATTCGAATTTTTCAATGGATTCCAACGAAGATTACAGCAAAAAAAAATAATATTTGGTTGAAATGAGTTTTCTATTGAAATTTCTGTTGGATTTTGACGATTGAATTTCCAACGGAGATTTCATATTCCAACACAAATTCTAACCATAAAAAAAGCGCCGGAAAAGAAATCGTTGGAGTCACCAAGTTTCATGGAAAACTCATTCCTACGAAATATTTTCGTTGGTATTTCCATTAGAAATTATTACCGTATGTTTTTTCCATTAGAATACAGCAATTTATTATTTTGGTAGTGTTAGTTACCTTCGGATGAGATCGGCAGGGAGGCCCTCTTGATCGAAACGCCATGAGGTTTTGTATGCGGCGGCACTAATTTCCATGCAGTAACGGCCGGG